GGTGGCGGTGGTTTGTGCTGCTGGTAGTGATTGTGGCGGTGGTGGTGGTGGTGGTGGTGTGGTAGATTGTGGTGGTGGCGGTAGTGGTGGTGGTGATGGTGAATTGTGGTGGTGGTTGTGGTGGTGGTGGCTGTGGTGGTGGTGGTGGTGGTTGTGTGTTGCTGTTGGTGGTGGTGGTAGTGGGGGGTTGAGGCGGCGCTGGTGGTGGTAGTGGTGGTGGTGGTAGTGGTGGTAATCGTCGCTGCGTCCCCGCCGTCGCCGTCGCCAGCGGCGGCGCTGCTGGCCGCCGCCAGCGCCGCCGCCGGCGCGACGGGGGGGCGGGTTGAAACTCCCCCTCCCCCCGGCGCCAGGGGGGGGGGGGTTGAACCCCTCTCATTGAGCTGCCTCTGGTCATCGTCTCGCGTCCCCGCCGTGGGCGCTGCTGGCGGCCGCCAGCGCTGGCGCTTGCGCCGGCGCCGAGGGGTGGGGGGCTTGAACCCCCCCCCCCATGGGAGAAGGGGGGGGTTAGGAAGGGAGGGGGGTTTGGGGGGGAGGGGAGTCCCCCTTGTTTTGATCGACGGCGCCGAGTGTTGGGGGGGGGGGCCCACCCCCCGGTTTGAATTGCGCCGCCGAGTGTTCCCAAGACAAGCGCCCGTAAAACGCTTGGGATGTCATCTTGCCTTCAGCAATCCCAATCGTGACCTGCGAGTCGCAGCCTAGAATAATGTCTGCCTGCCAATTGTGCACATGAGAAGCGAGCACCAGCTGGGGCGGAATCAGGTACTGCATCAGCTGGGGCGGAATCGATCATGAGTCCCGTGCGAAGCCCTCCGGCACTGATCCCTTCCAGTTCGCAGCAGTGGCCACGAAAGACGTCCAGGCATGACATTCTGGATTGTCGTCGTAGTGTGAGCCATCTGTATATGTAGCAACGCGGAAAGCGAGAGAGCTATACGGGACGGTGACAGAGAACGCAAAGGCAGCAGTCGGGTGCAAACCAACCCCGTCTTAGCGACAAGAGAGATCAAGACCACCAATGAGATCCCTGAGCCTTTGGAGAAACACAGAATTGGGCTTTAAGGTCGTGCGCCGAATCGTATGGCCTGTCCGTCAGCACGATAATTCAGTGCAGGGGGGAAAGGGCGAAGTGTTCCCAAACTTCTTGGGGGTCTTGAGCTCTAGTCTCACCTTTCTTCCTAGCCCCACAGAGGAGCGACTCGAGTGAACACATCGGCCGTATGAATCCTCGCAGCGAGTTGGTAGCAGCTCTGGCCAATCGCGAGGAGGAGTGAGAGATACTCGGCACATGTTCCCTCGTACCGTCTCAAGTGGCAAGTGGCTTGTGAGATTTCCGGCACCAGCTGTTCCAACCTGAGGTGACCTTCCCTAGACAAGTCCCCTCGACACCCCTGGACTTGATAAAGGAGTCTCATGTGCAGCTGTGTTGCGGGGTCGTTGGCTTGGCTATAGGCCCAGCCCCTGTAGTAACCCTGAAATTCCCAACATGTCTTGCGCAGGGGCCTCGGACAGCGTCAGCTGAGGTATTATTTGAAAGAACAGAACAGGAGCGGTGCTGGCTACTAATTGGTGAGGAGGGGCCAGATGGGCAAATGGTAGGAGTTGAGGATCATACAGTGCTGGAGGTAATGATCAGCAACTTGGTATGTGATTTCCCTTTGGTACCTGATGTCGTTGGGGTGACCTTCCTGCCCCATCTCACGAATCCTTTATGTCGCCATTGATCTCTTGCTCGCCCTCGAATCGCTGGAACATCTTGGGGGGACTCTGCCCCCTGGCTGGAACATGGTGCCCTTGAGACGATGGAGACGTTGGAATAGTTGTTGCAGCCGCCAGTGTGGCCGATGCAGACGCTATCACTGAATACACTGGACGAGGAAGCATTTTCGACGGCTGATTCATCGGCTGTGTTGGCTCTTCTTACGGTGTCTCTGGCTGACTACACATTTGCGTCGGCGTAGGAGTCCCAGGGTCTGTTGAGGTAGAAACTGCTGTCGTATGAGTTGGCGCCAATTGTAGAAGTGCCGCTGGAGCTGGAGCATGCTGAAAATATTGCTGGGAGACGATCGGCTGCTCTCCCGTCGGTGTCGCAGAAATCAAACCTCCAAGAGTGTTGCGGATCGTTGCCGAAGCCTGACTCCATGATGGACAATGTTTGCCTTGACTTTTGGCCAGACCCAGCCAACACGTGAGTCGCAGTCGCGTTCTCCGTGTTCTTCTGCTCTCCGCACAGCATGTACATATATTACCGCATTTGCACGTAGCCAGCATGCATATATGTTGGGCCATGTGGCGGCGGTGGCGGCACACTTGTATAGTAAGTACATGGCGATGGTTGTTGCTTTCCGGAGGGATCATTTGCTGCCATTCCTGTCACTTCTGCACTCACCGCTGTGGCCGTTCCTTGCTTTTGCAGTATGTTATGAGCCGTCGAAGACATCAAACCGTCTTGCATGGGCGGTGGTGCTTTTGACGAGACAGGATTGTCCACGGGTGCTGGGGCCGTTCTTGCTGGTGAGCTTCTTGCCGGCTGCCTTTGAGCACGGTTTCTTCGTTTTGGAAAGTTGTACTGGATGAAATTGATATGTTCCGTGTGGGAATATATCTCTTCCTCCAGATCGTATTGTTGTTGAGCCAAGTCGCCCTGGTTCGTTTTGCACTGCGCAAGGTGGTCCTCCAGCTGCGTCTTGCGCCCACGAGCTGCCTGGAGCTGCTAAAAGGCAAGGGTTTGAAGGTGGACATCGCAGGCATGAGCATTGACCAGCTTGCCCCGCCATGTAGGCCACCATGGCTAGGCTGTTGAGCTTGGTGAATGTTTTCTTCCTGAACTTGCCAATCTCCAAAGGATAGTCGTTCGTCGGTGGCGCGATCCTCTCTGGGTGGCTCGTCGCTTCCGTCGGTGAAGCCATCGGATGCTTGGCCTGTACATTATGAACCGTAGTCTTTCTCATCTCGTGCAGATTATTGTCGTGTTCGTCGGATCGACGAGCTGCACTTTCTGAACGCATGGGTTCCCCTTTCGACCATGACTTTCTGTTCCTTGTGTCCCAGCCCTCTCCTTTGCCTTGTCCGCACCACCGTGCCTTCGCGACTGTGGAGGCCTCTCCTGGCCACAGAAACAATACTGATGATGAGCTTCGACTGTCCTGTAACATGTGGCACATTTCCAGACAGCCATGCAGTCGGCAAATGAATGGATGAGAGATTCGAAAGGTTATCTTATCTGAATGGTACTGCAGCTCTCCTGCAGGGTGCCTGTGCAGAGGGTACAGTATGAAAGCGGCTCTTGCCCAGCTGGCTTGACACATGTATTATTTGACCCAAAGTGGCTTGAGCCAGCATGGCTATGGTTCACCTCCCTCCCTCCTCCTCCTATTCCTTTTCCCCCCCTTTTTTGTTCGACGATTAGCGAACTCAAAAGAACACCGAGTTAGCTTGTCAGAGTGAGGGGGCCGAACGGTCATCCATTATCCCTGGGTGCGTGGCTCTAGTGGGGATCCGTGGTGAGGATTTTGCTTATTGCGTTGTTGATGTTGTTATTGAACATTATTAATTCTAAAGAATAATTATTGTTGGGACCCCTGGTGCACGGCCCCCCTGCGCCGCCTAGGCCGCAGCTACATTTTCATCATTTTCGTGAGGAAGCCTCAGGTAATTCGATGTGATCAAGATCCGGTTGTTTTGTTCCCCCCCGCTTTCCCTTGCAAAAAACACTATAAAATGACATTTCTTGTTCTAATATAATCAAATTTCAAGAATCCCTTGCAAAAAATAAGGTAAAGTGGACATTCGCGCGCGCAAGACGAAATCCTTCCAAAAGCTTAGTGTTCGGAGCGATTTTAACATAAAAACATCAAAAAACCAATGGTTTTTCAACAAAAAAATGTCAAAATCTCATCCCGCGCGCTCTTGCGGATTCGTAGGAAACCCAACACTTTTTAAACATTTCTGTCAAACGGGCTTTTGCGAGCAACTTTTTCGAACTTCTGCGACAACGGTTGCGCACCTGCCAGGGCCATCATCCCTGTCAAATAATACCATGCGGGACACATTCGTTTTTTCTTCGCGCGCGCACGCCGAAATCTCCAAAAACCATTGGGCTTCTTAAGAATTTTAGCACCGCGCATCATAAAATCACACGAATCGCACCGTAGGTCCTCGAAAAACACCTGCACGACTTTTCAAAATTTCTACCCGCGCGCGCTGTCCTAACAACTTCTGTGGGTGTGTACTCCACGCCAGTGTAGTAGCCACGGTCGTCCGCAGGCCACGAAGTGAAGTGTCCGAACGTCATAGGGCGGGAAGCTGGGTGTGGGTGGTGGCGAAGAGTCGTGTGGATATTTGGTAGAGCTTGCACTGCCCCCCCACAAAGTGGGGGTATTGGCTGGCGTCGCATGAAAACCCTGGCACTGGTGAGAACACTGAGCGTTCGGGAAAAGTGATTGTTGTTGTTGTTGTTGTTGTTGTTGTTGTTGTTGTTGTTGCGACCCACCCCGCGACCCACCCGAGACCCACCCCGCGACCCACCCCGCGACCCACCCCGCGACCCACCCGCGACCCACCCGCGACCCACCCCGTGACCCGCCCGCGACCCACCCCGCGTCCCATCCTGCGACCCACCCCGAGACCTACCCGCGACCCACCCCGCGACCCACCCCGCGACCCCCGCCCACCCCGCGACCCACCCCGCGACCCACCCCCGCCCCACCCCCGACCCATACGCGACCCACCAGCGACCCATCCGCGACCCGGCCCGCGACCCACCCGCGACCCACCCGCGACCAACCCCTTGACTCACCCACATTGCTTTTTCAAACCATAATTTGGTAAAGTTAGGTGCTTGCGGCGGGCTTCTTCAGAGCCTCGCAGACTGACGACGTCCTCGCTGCCCCCTCACTCTTATCCGCAATTGCGGGGTGCTACGTACCGTTATTCCTCCTTCTCCTCCTTCTCCCACCTCCCTCCCTCCGCCTCCCACCTCCAATCTCAATACTTTCTCCTAGGTGCACCTCGCTTCTCCGGCCGTTGTCGGGGCGTCCGCCGCGGAGGGCTTCATAGCGGCCCCCGCCGGCTCGCGTCAGGCGCTCCCCTGGGAGTCAAGATTCACGAGCGGCGAGCTCATCCATTCCCGCGCCGCAAGAAGGTTTTTGATGGTTTTCGGCATGCAGGGGCCCTTACTGGGCCTCGGGACCGTCACAAAACGACTGAAAAACAGCATGTTGGAGGGGGATCTACGTCGTGGAAAAACAGGTTGTTGGAGGGGGCGGCAGAACGCATCGACTTCACGAGCGGCGATCATGTCCGTATCCGCGCGCTCGCGATCTGAGGTCCGAGATGTCTTCCCGCAGATGCGCGGTCACACGGACACGATTCGCGCGGGGCACCAAAGTGCCCTGTACCCGCGGGGTCGCGGCCCAGGGGCCTGGCCCGCGAGGCCGCGGATACAGAGTTTTTTTTCTGGGCAGCGAAAATCAACGATGGAGCGTCGTGGTTTGTTGATGGGCCTTTGCAAAATGCTACGGGTGGCGGTTTGTTGAATATGTTGTAAGAGCATGTTCGGTTGGAAGTGTTTGGATTTTAGAGATTGGCTTCATGGTACAAGAGCAGTGTCTGTGTTATTGAAACGATTGTGGATTCTAAGGATATTTCGTGGTAGGCCTGTAGAAGTTGGGACGGTCGGCCCATGCCCAGTCAAAGTCGCGATGATTCGAAGGCGTGCAATGGTGTGGATGTCATGGCCTGGGCCAAACAATCTCCCTGATATGATTGCCCCGTCTTGTTAGTATTTCAGTACGCTCCCTAGCCCCACTTCGTCCGCGCACATGCCTCGTATCACAATGCGCTAACCTTCCTCTTGATAGCACCCCTCATCGGCGCACCCTGGTTAAGGACAGGGGGGGTCATGAGTGAACCCAATTTGACGTCAAACGTATGCAACTAACAGCAACACGGAGCTTCTCCGCTGTTTTCGGGCTCCGGGGGGGGCTCCCCAGGCCCTTGGATCGTGAACACAGTGTACTCAGGGTGAAGAGCTGGTCCACGACCCGTGCCCTTCTGGGCCCTGTTGCCTCTTGCCACGACAGTCTGGGGGGACAGGGGGCATGGAAGAGGTGAGTCGAGGATCAGGGCAGGCACTACCAAAACCCCTTGGAGTTCATGCACCACCCCCTTCTGTTTGGTTCAGTGCATCCCCTGGCCCGCGCTCGTATGCACACAGGCATCGGTCCATGATGCGGCTGCCCCCTCTTATTTGCCACCCGTCTTCTGCGCACCTGGGGGAATGGGAAGGAGGATGTGTCATACTTCGATGATCGGATGGTTTCTTATTCGATGCCGGCCTCTTGGGGCCCGTTTCGGGCCCCGGGACCGTCAGACATATACCCGTGCTTGCAGATTGGCCCCGGTCTGGATGGAGCCTGGGGGGCGGGTCCAGGGACCAGTTTTGAGCGAAGTCTGACCTGTTGAGTTGGAGGAGCAGGGGGCTGCGAGAGAGGTGATGGGGTGGAGAATGTGAGATGTGGTGGTGAGGTGTCGGAGCCCCGCAGCCGGTCAGGCCTTCAAGCGCAGTGAGAACAAATAACACCCGACAACACCGTAACGTTGTTGTAGATAGGACACAAGGGGCTCAAGAGCAACTGATGCAAACCGAGGAATGATATCTGGGCGGCGATGGCGACAGGGTAACCTGCACATGTTTTTCATGCTGCTGGGGCTCCCGCATCCAAGCTCTCGTCTGGCAATAAAATTCGGCCCTCCCCTCCTCGTCCTTCCCCTCATCATCATCAACATCATCATCACCATCATCATCGGATTCCCTTCGGGGATTATCCGTTAACATTGAAAAGACACAGAGAATATTAGCATGGCCACTGCGCAAGGATGACACGCACAAATCGAGAAGTGTACACCAACATCACCACCACCATCATCATCAACATCAAGATCATCAACATCACCATCGTCATCGTCATCATCATCGACATCGCCGCCGTCATCATCAACAACACCGTCATGATCACCATTATCAGCATCACCATCATCAGTATCATCATCATTATCATCATCATCATCATCATCATCATCATCATCATCATCATCATCATCATCAGTATAACCATCATACTCGTCATCATCATGATCACCATCATCATAATCAGTATCAACATCATCAGCATCACCATGAAATATTATCATCCTCCCGATCATCAGCAGTGGCCGCCACAGGGGAATGATTTTTTATGTTCTCAATATGGTTGGGGATCCGAATCCGTCAATGAGCCTGCGGATGAGGGAGAAGAGGAAGGCCCTGACCCCCTCAACCTCTTCCCGGACCCACCCAACAGGCCCGACGCCTGGTCCCCATACGATCGGATCGTTGATAGGGACGCCATCCGTGTAGTCAGGTGCGCGAGAGACAGCCCACAAAGAGCAGACAGCGCAACCTGGAGCATCAGCGACGCTAGGGATGACCGGACCCTCAGCCGCGCGAGCGGTGACAAGGGCCTCCAGCGACCCGTGTGGGAAGACACCAAGGACGGGGATGGCCGTGCCACCAAGTCCCCAAGTGAGCCCGCGCAGAACATAATTCTTGACGCCTCCCGTATCCCCACCAGCCTTTGTCGTCCATCTCCCTGGCTGGGCTGTCTTGTCACTGTCGCCACTGGGCTACCCTTCTGGTTCTTCTCCTCGTCGCACTAGGGGCGTGCTCACTTCCTTGATGGCTCCTGGAGGGCGCTTACTATTCGGCTCGTTCTGTGGCCCTGGAGACGGCTTGCTGGATTGTATGTCCCGTGCGCTTGGCGTGCGTCTGTGGTTTCGCGACCCTCCCAGTACTTCATGTCCCTGTTCTTCGGCCAGGTACGTCGACCCTTTTGCCGCCTGAGCCTGATCCCCTGCGCGCCCGCCGTCTTTTCCTTGTCTCTTTCGTCCCTCGTTCCTTGCTCTTTCGCTCTCTTGCTCTTCGTCGCCTCGCCTTCTGTGTGCTCTCGTTCGTCTCTCCTTCGACGCGTAGTTCTTGCCACCGTTGTGGCCCTTTTTCCGCCTGTCCTGCTAGGATGGCCGGTCGTCTGGCTTTTTCCGCTGATCGACCCTGTCGACGGTGCGCGGCTTGTCCCGCGTCGCTCGCAATCCGAAAAGTATCCCCACCAGCCCCGCTTCGCGGCTGCTGGTTCCCAGGATCGACCCCAGCCTGGTGGGTGCGCGTCCGCCTGCGTTCCCCGCCTCGTGGATCGGGACCTCGACACCAGCCTTTTGGCGGTGTCTGGCGATCCGGACTCCGATCCGTCGAGCGCCTGCATGGGGTTGGTTGGCGATTGGCGGTGCGACGAGTGCGCCCGCTACCCACGAGACGGTATGTCCGTTGGTCTTTGGCACCTGCTTTCGTTATGCGCGAAGTTGCGGGTTCGCCGTGGCGGTGGCGCTTGCCCCCCGGCCCGCCCCCCTGCAACGCCCTCGCGCCTTGGGCTGGCTGTCAGTGGCGCGCTGCCCTCCCGCTCGTGGCTAACGTGGCGCCGCTTCGCAGTGGCATGCTCGTGGAGTCGTTAAACCTGAATCCCCCCCCATTTTGGCGATGCACACCGGCTGGCGGCTTCCCTCCAGGCGAAGGCGCACATTTCGTGAGCGGCAGCGAGGCCCGCCTCCAGTATGTCTCTCGCTCCGCTTTCCTCGTCGTCCCTCCTTTCGCTTCCGCTTGCGCGATGTAGGCCGTAGCTTGGTTGTTACGACTGTCGGACAGCGTTCGGCAGTTCCGATGCGGTCGCGATCAAAGAAGTATCCCCGCCAACCCATCCAGAAACAGGTCGCTCGGCGACTTGCCTTGACCAGGGAAGCGTATAAACATGCAGTGCAACAGCCACCTTGGATGATTTTTTCGCCAGAGGTCCATTTGAGCCATTTTTGGTTTTTCTTGGGATCTATCTTGGGGTCTTTCTTGAGCTCTCTCGGGAGGTGTATGGGGCCCTCTTGGGTTTTTTTTTTGAAGGGTATGGGAGGCCTCTTCAGGCAATTTGGTGTTCACGATTCAAAAAGAGGTGGGTCGTAAAGTCAGCCCCCCCCCCTCTCGGAGGTTCAACGATGACGTCTTGGGCCCGTCCTGGGGCGTTTTTGGGGCGGTTTTGGGCGCTCTTGGGGCCGTGTTGGAGGCCTGTTGGGTCCCTCTTGGGGCTCTCTTGGGCCATCTCGGGGCCATCGTCGGGCTTCCGAAGCACATCGGAAACGAACAGGCGAGAAGGCACACATCATCATTGTCCTCAGGTTTTGGAGCCACGTTTGCCTCGTTAGGGGTCCTTCTAGGGCTCGGATGGGTGTGGACTCTTGGATGTGCGTCGGAGGCTATTTCGGGCCATCTTGGAAGCCATCTTGGGGTATCTGATGCCTTCCTGGATCCATATTGGGCGATTTTGTGGGCTCTCGCGCCTCGTCCCCCCCCCCCTTCCCAGGCTCAGTGCAGGGGGCAGGGGCAATAGCAACCCCCTCCACCGAGCAGGGGGGGACGGATTTTGGGCAGAGGGAATATACCTTTCTTTCAAATTCGCCTACGCCCAGAGGGCTGGTGGAAACCCGAATCCGTCAAGAAGCCCGCGCAGAAACAAAAACATGTTTCCCAGCGTCGGGGGGTGAAGACCCTGTGCGGTTTTAAGGGGGGGCGTTTCTTTCCAGGAAGGCAAGGGCTTCCCAGAAGGGGGGCGCCGCCCTCTGCAACAAACCATGCGCTCGTCGCGCCCCCCTGACCATGCCCCCTTCTCGAGCGCTGGCAGGGGACGGGGGTGGAGAGAGGGGCAGACATTCGGAGGCGACGATCGGGGCGAAGAATCGACCATGGGCGGGCTTTATGCGTTCGCTATGGAGCCTCGACGAAAGCGTGGACCATCAGCACCCCATGGATGCATGTGTTGCTCTTTCATGGTCTATCCGCCACCATCGTCTCTCCCGAAGAAGGAAAGTCAGGGGCAACTTTAGGGGAGATCGGCTCAGGAGTGGCGTTTTCGTCGTTGCTCGGCGGTTTTGTAACTTCAGGACGCCTTCCAGCAGGTTCTTTTTGGTGAGGGCATTCCAGTGGTGCTCAGATAGTCTCGGACGGCCG